GGCTGCACTTTAACCTGTGTCTTGATCTGTGTCAACGCTGGATAATAATAATTAAAAAAGTTTTATGGCATTCATTCTACTATTATGTATTTATTTCTTAATATTTTACATAGAGTTTTAGGAGTTGAGACATACAACAATTCATATCCCATCCATTTTTATTTTACGCGCCAGGATCAGATCGGTACTCGGTATCGGCAGATACCTAAGGTTCAGGGATCGGAATCGGTATCAGGAAGGAAAAAGTGGTATCGGTACATCTCTACTTATTTCTGACACCTTTTCAGACACCACAGTACCTCTGCTTTCCTAACCCTACCTTCAAATGTTCGGGGATCTGTTGCTGCTAACCCTGGTGCTACTTCTGGAGACGTGGGTGAAGGCGTGACAGGTAAAATGTAATGCATGAATAGGTCCTGTTAGTGCATGTGTGTGTATCTCGGGCATGTGTGTATATGACAACAGAGTGGGAAAAAAATTAATTTCCCCTCTGGGATTAATAAAGTATGTCCTCTTCTTCTTTCTTTCTTCATGCATCTATCCATCTATCTATCTAAAAAGATCAATATGAGCGTGGTAGAGATGACTTTAGTAGCAGTATACAGTACTATGGACGGGGAAGAGCATGTCGAATATTCTGCTTCTCTATGGAGTAGAAGAAGGCCTCTTCCGTAGATCTTGCTCTATGTTTATTTTAGCTGATCCAATTCTTGTTTTTTTGCTGGGGCACAGCCATAGCCCCATGGACATTTCACTCTAAAAACTGGACAGTCGATAGGATTAATTCTGGAGGGAGATAGGACAGTGCTTTCACTATAGATCAGCAGTGTCAAAAGTGCGGCCCATGGGCCAGAACCGGCCTGCCAATCTGGCCCACTAGATAACCAAGAGGTGCCAGATTTCATGAGCAAGTGTTGCCTATGTCATGCAAAATTCTGCTCAAGAGGCTCTTCCACCCTGACCAGAGTACAGTCACCTGATATAACAATAAATACTTACTGTGCCCATGTTTAAAGATATTGAACATTGTGCAAAATATTGTCAGCAGCTTCAGCTCAAAATAATCTGTGCCTGGAAATGTGTGGATAAATGCACATGTACTGACAGTGAGAAGTAGACTGACTGAACTTTTCTTAAGACATCTCAGGCTGTTCATCTGTTTTGTAAAATGAGGATTACATACAGAGTGTGCCTGTAATTCTTTACACAAAAAAGGGGAACATATTGGAGGTGATGGTACTTATAGGTTATTGTGCCATGGTTTTATTGGTCCAGCCCATCTGAAACCCCTGTGTTAGATGTTCCTTTTGCTGCAAAACAACCATAGCTATTCTTGTTTTTATTTTGGTGGGAAGAAGGCATTTACTACAACTATCTTGCTTATATCCCCTGAGCCCATCAGCCACATATCTACCAACACACCGCCTCAGCACATAGTGATACTGCTACACCAAACCTCACCACAACAACCATGAACAGAACATGAAGTCACTCCAAAATACATCACATCTTTCAAACACTAAACATCTCTCTCCAGCATTGTGCCATGCAGCTGAGTTACAAACACAATCAGAACATTTCTGCACCACTGCAAACACTATTGGTGGGCCTACACCACACCACATCAGAGGCACTGTAAGCTGTCAGTCACTGACTTACCTGTACAAGTGTCTGCACCTGGTTTTCTTTGCAGCAAAATCCCGCTTAACCTCTCTGGAGTCCAGTTCGCGAAGAAAGTCACCCTCAGTGGACAATAGCGTCAGATGACTTAGTGTCTCCTAGTGCTGTGTTTGACATGGACAGGTCCCCAGGTACACTTTGTCTCTATAAGCAGTGGCATCTCCCAGATGTATCAGTGTCATTATGGATCACCTGGTGAATCGTTACTCTCAGTGTCAACTTCGGCGGTCTCCTCAGTTTGCTGATGCGGGGGGCGGTGCGCTGTCCCTCGGTGTCTTGAGCAGCAGGTGACCCCGCTGGTGACGCACTTGTTCGGCTGTTTCCAAGTCAGAGTCGGGGTCTGATGGAGACGCTATTTGCTCTTCTTCACAGCTGGCATTTTCCAATATAAAGCTCTACGGGTCTGCCTCTTAGCTAACGCCACTCTTGCACCAACAGTAGAGCTAACAGCAGCTAGCTAGCAGTTTTCCGGTACCGTTAGCCGAGTCTGACCACTTACACCTCGCGCTTCGACACTCTGAGACTTTCTAAAAAAAAATCCTGTTAACATTGGTATTATTTTAAAGTAACTCCTATTTGTATTTTTTGGGACCCCTTTCCGTTTCACCACCCCTCACAAAACTCCGTTATCCCGCCATGTTTGTTTGTATGTTTTTACAATCGGTCAAGAGGTCGCCCGAGCTCCTAACGGTCCAACACAAACTGACCAATCAGAGTCAAGAGATATCACCTGGCAACAAACTGGCCAATCAATACGCGCGATTCATGACCTTGCCCCGCCCTCGCCCAGTAAATATCACTTCATTATAATAGCATTATATTTTCAGGATATCAGAGGTCTGAACCATGAAGCAGGAGTTTTCTTAATTAATTGATTCATTCATTCATTCATTCATTTATCTATTTATTTATTTTTATTTATTTACTCATTTGGATGCTTTTTATGCACTCTAGCATCGCATTTTACCGTTAAAACGTTTTATAAAGTTTATTTTTCAACGTTAATTATTAATTGTGATGTTCATCAACCATTGTTTATTCAGGGAAAACGGCAATGAACTGAGTTCACATTCAATGGGCTAGACGGATACAAATACATAATTGCAATAAAGTGATAAAAAAAAGTCCATAAAAAAAAATAAGTAGCAGCAATGTCTATCAAGAATTATAAACAGCAATAAAAACAGTAAAAAGACAAAAAAGTTAAATAATTAAAAATGGAGTCTGCCATAAAGGACAGATACATAACAACAACAATAAAAACAGTAATATGTATAAAATCATGTGTGTCAATTAACCAAAGCAGCAACACTGTAAAACAACCATATCATCCAGCATATACTTGAAATGATTCACCGATACCTACCTGTCCAATTTCAATACTTCTTGCAACTTGTTCCATTTACGTGGGGCGAGAAAACCATATAGCTAATTTACCGAGCTCTGTACTGATCTGAGGGCTTTCAAGGGAAATAAATCCTGTGATCATGTGCAATCATGTTAAACATATTAGCAGCTGTTAGTAATTAGTACTGATTAGAAACAGAATACTTTGCAACTACTATCATTAGATTGAAGAGAATTTTGAGGTATGTGTACTTGAGTACTTACATTTGATGCACCTATCCCAAAGGGAATCATTGTACTTTTTACTCCACTACATTTATTTGTCTGCTTTAGTTACTTTGAAAACTTAGATTAGTAATATAAAAATACAACCAAGTAGTAAATCATGATGCATAATTACAAATTAAACTACCCAGCAGTAAATAAAGTATTTAAAATGAGCTCCACCTTTACCAGCTGCAACATTACAGTTATTACCTGCTCTCTGTCTTGCACGCAGTCACACAAAAGGTGCTGTTTGAATGACCCAAACATGTATCCAACATATCATGTTCTTTTCAAGGCCTTTAATAAATTAATGAATTATTATTATTAGTCTGATCATCATTAATTCCATGTTAATAAAGTTTGGTATTGTTCAGGGCTATTTCTTGTCTTCTCTGCAGATGAATTTATCACAGTGTTCTCTTACTAAAATAACCCACACAGTGTCAGTCAGTTCTCGTTCTCGCAACATTTCAGTCAGATAGACCTCATCAGACATTAACTAGGCAAATTTCACTCTTTAGTTACAGTATGTAGCAGAAACAGCCTGGCGTTACTTTTAAGTGTTTTATGTGATATGGTCAGAGTAGGTCCTTCATATTCCAACTAAATAGCAAAACACTCACTACTACTTATTTCTTACGGTGATATCCTAAATCTATGTCAGGTATTGGATCTCTTGATATGTAGAAATAGTCTGGAATATCTACAGGTTGCCATTACATGATAAGGTGCTGTGCTTTGAACATAATATTCCTGTAGAAAGTTTCTACTACCGTTTCATCTCATATCACATGAAGTAAGCGCTTCGATTCATGGTTCTGATGATGTGGCTCCTAATTAACAGCCCCGCCTCTTTCACATGAACGTGCTCTTGGCTGGAGAGGAAACCCAGAGATGACTGAGCCAGTTGATAACCAGCTTTGTAGTACTGAATATCCTCCTGAGACCTGAACTTGTGTTTGGCATGCATTTTTAATTTCTCCTAGCTATTTGGGATCAGTAGGACCTGATTAGTATGAAAAACTGAACATTGTTAATGGTAATTAAGTCCCAATGTCTTAATACTTTCTAATTAAAAGCGTCTCAGCTTGCTATCATTTCTGAAGTTTGTAAAGTTCGTAGGGCATATCAAACTACACTACACCACACTAAATCCTTTAATCGGGTTTTGTTCCTTGTCCACTTTTGTGTCGGGGTCGGCTGCAGACTGACATGGCAGAGATGGCTGCCATCTTGTTTTTACATGGATTAGGGTATTGTGGATTTGCTACCACTAGATGGCACAAAAAAGTGTCCATGAATGAGGACAACAGGTCTAAGTTAAGCAGGATAAAGTATAAGGTGCAGTAAGCCCAAAATGCGATGTCCTCAAATGAGAACACAGCGCCTCAGGAGGTCTTTCAGAGAGCCAGATAACCAAAATATATCATGGACATGTTGAACTGGTTTTGTAGCAGGCCCCAGGCTTCAGCCAAGCAAAGCCCGTGCATTAAATTCCCACTGCATGTAGAGCAGGCTGTCCACTGTAGCTGATCTAACTATGGAGCTGAAGCATTATACCTGAGCTGAATAATAGTACCTGAGCTGAAGGCACCGGAAGTGTTGATGGGACATGTGTCTGATCTGTGTGATCTGTCTCTATGAGGAGAGAGCAGGAGGAGGCTTCTCTAGGTGACGTGGGTCTATGGAGGGGAGTTCCACACGTGACTGACTTGATGCTCCTCTTTAGCGAGCAGAGGCTCACACTTAGATCATACAGCCTCAGCCACATTCAGCATCCTCACCCTGACCATTATTTGTGCCTTCTTCTTCCTTCAGATCTTTATTGTATCTGCATATTATTATTTTTATAGACAGAAACCAGCACCGGTATTGTATCGTTTCCTGCTGAACCTGCAGCCCCATCCTCCATCCCACATCTCCAGCAGTTCAGTTACTGAAACACTGCCCGGTGTCTTGGATGTGTCGGCAGACTGCAGCGGTGCTCGCGGTGCTGACCGCCTGTCTCTGCGGGCAGCGGCTGTGCGCGGCGGCGAAGATCCAGCAGCTCAACCACCGGCCGGTCATCGGTAAGATTCAGCCGCCTCAGAGGCTGTTTGTGTCGGTCCCTGTCCGTGCAGAGACCGGCTGTCGGATTAGCTCTTATGTAATTCTAATCGAGAATGTTCGAGAGAGGTGTGTGTGTATGTGTGTGTGCTGACAGAGACACAGGGAGTCTCTGTATACTGTAATATCATCATATAGAAATACCAGCATTCAATTATGTGTCTCTTCTGGAGGTGCTTCTCTTGTGTGCAGGCTGTATATGTAGCCTGTGTGCTGCAGATTCAGAGATACTCCACTGGAATGTAATCAGTCAGTTGGATCAAAACCACTCTTAATATCTATCATTGGTTAATATCCTAGTTATTAAAAACCACTCGTCCTCATCTGAATTTTCAAGGCTGTGTTTCAAAAACTGCCAAAAATAATGTGTAAATTTCAGAATATTCAAAGTAATTACCACATCTGAAGTACTTTTTCTTGTGATGATTGGAGCCAGAGGGGTGCAGAAAAAGAGATGAATGGATGATGATGATGATGATGATGATGGATGGAAGGCTGCAGGGGAGAAAGTTATGCTTTATTTGTCTTTCCATCGCCTTTGCCTCATAATAATTATGTGCAAATGTTCTCAGGGTGTATCAGCTTTTACACAGCCAACATGTATAATCACAGACTGTAATACCCAACACTTAATTTACCTTTAACTCCAGGCAGTACGTATGTTTCTTTATATGTTTTATTAATATATTGACAAAATATGTAAAGCCAATAATTACGCACTGAGGTCTGAAATAATTGTTAGCAAATGTATCATAATTAAACATAACTAAACATAACAAATTGCCATTATTATCCTCCTGAGACCCTGCGTCCTCATATGAGGACATTACATTTTGAGTTTCCTGTACTTTACACTTCATTCTGATGAGCTTAGTCTGCAGCCGATCCCGACACAAAAGTGGACAAGAGACTAAACTTGATCAAATTTTATGGTCGAAACTTGTTTATTTGTGCTTGATAACATCTGTAGTTAAATATTGCATACACATTTTAGCTGATAGCAGTTAGCAGCTAACTTGAAGAAGAACAGCAGCCCAAAAGTGACTGCACATTGGGAATCCAGTGAGGTCCAGGGGCTCCTTACCCTCTGAGCAGAGGAAGAGATCAGCCGCCATAGTAACAGAGACGTTATTGCCATGTTATGCCTTTGTTATTGTTTATGAAGCGCTGCTGACATGCATATATCACACTCAAGACTGATGCTGTTGTGTTACATGTCATGTCTGTCCCACCTCCTCCTCTGATTCCACGATGTGATCTAAAATCACACACACGAGTGGAATGATGCTGTCGTTGTCTGGTTCTGTGTAAAAATGAAAAGGTGGTGAGAAGAATGGACTTAACAGCGGCCCCATAGCACGATGTCTGTGTAAAAAGGGGCCCCTGTTAAGTTTCTGCAGAGGCTGCAACACTCTGAACCTTATTTTTGAGGTATAGAAGTAAAAGAAATAACATAACTTCAGCGTTGAGATGAGAAAACTTTGCCAGGACAACATGTTGTCTTGAGCAAACCTGCAGCTGTCACTGTGGTCAGAACTCTGAAACTTTTGTATACCATGGCCATGACTCATGATCTGTGGTTTTGAGTACAGTAGGAAGTGTGTTGACATACAAAGGGTTGAGTTTGTCCCTACATTCAGGTGGCCTGTTTGTTTCACAGCAGAGTGTTACAAAAGAAAAAGAAGAGATATCCTATACATCCTAAGAGTTTCTGTTAATCTGTTTTGGAAGTTTGTAAATGTTTATGATTAACATAGCTTCAGGAGTGTGTATTTCTGTTTACCTATAAAACATTAGATAGTTTCAGTTTTATGATGCATTTTGTTTGGGTGAAGTTCTTGCATGGCTGTAAGTGTAAGGACAACATCAAACACTTAAACAGGGGCTGTACAGTTAATCAAAATCATACATCTTACATATTCCTGTGTCACCTAATTTGTGTAGGGGCTCGAGTTATATGGTCGTAATTGATGGTGGATTTTGTTTTTACTTCTTGCTGTCAGAGTTGTCCAGCAGTTATATACACATATGTCATATATACACTGACACCTATGCGTGTGTACACGAATTCTGATTCTGCTTCAAACTAAAACTCAGGTATTGTGTTGTATATTATACTGGATGCATGAATTTTAGGTCCAGCACTTCATATCTAACAGTTCTCATCTGCCGTGCTCTGGTAGAACTTTCACTCTCAGCATGGGACACCCCGTTGTTTTGGTGGCTGCCAAGCTGCCCCCTCCGAGGCTGAGACATGAAGCCAACACTGAGGTGCCAAAAACTGTAGTTTATCAAACGGCTACTTGGGCTGGCACCAGAACAAATTAAATCCCCACAGAACCCCATGATAAAATGCCCAACTTTACAGCAGAAATAAACATGTTTATATCCTGGCACAACAGTTTTGGTCTCTGTAGCTAATATAAGCATTAATTAGTTGTATAACTCACCTGTTAACATTTGATTAAGGCCCAAAGTTATGCATATTTAGGGCTGGGCTGCTTGAGTGACAGGCTGTCTGTGAGGTGCCCCCACAGTCTGTGAGTCAGATCCACCCCTTGCTCCTCCACAGCGCCACCCTCTCGCCCACCTCTGGCTCCAAAAAACAATATGGTGATGGACAAAATGCCAAACCCTAAACTTTAAAATGGAAGTCCCCAAACCAATAGGTGACATCACGGTAGCTACGTCCATTATTTATAGTCTGTGGTGGCTGCAGGTAAAACAACAGGCTGTGGATGAAAACACCTGATGGACCTGATGGAATTTTTTAAACTATATTTAGTACATACATCTGGCTGGTAGAGTTTGTGCTGTTTCGTGATACGTGTGAATTATGATCCGATGTTCCGGTGACCTTTGGGGAAAAAAATGAAAGGAAACATGAAGAGAGACGCACACGTCTCCTGAATTAACAAGTCAGTACCTGTAAGAGATTTGATCTCTTCAAGAGTGCATCAGTGTGGACATCTCTTTGTTGCTTCTTAGTCTTTCCTGTGTGGTTCGGATTTCAAATTTTCAATGCATCTGTGTTATATTATTTGTCTTTTGTCCTCCTTAGGTGTGTTGGCTCAGGAAAATCTTCCCGGAGACCGGTTTGCTCGTGGCTCCTCCTACATCCCTGCCTCCTATGTCAAATACTTGGAGGGAGCCGGGGCGAGAGTTGTTCCCATCAGGTACACCAGTCAGATATAACATCTCTCTCATACTGTATGTATCAGATGTAGGAGCCACATTGGATTAACCTGTATTTTGCTGTTGCATATTGACCCCACCTCACCTCTCTGTATATTGTGCATTTCTTATTTATGTCCTGTGTTGTCTTTAAGTTCCCTTTAAGTACAGTGCATGCAGCAGACTGTTGTTCATTGTACATTGCAGCTTCATTATTTGCCCAAGCACCCAGGCTCCAACAGACCTGCTCCAAGTGAAGCCAGGGCAACACCCGTGATCACTGTGGCAACTGCGATTTAATACTACAGCAAAAACTTTTGTTTTGTAGATGTGTTTTTGACTGATTGCAGACAGTCGACCCACAGTGACACAATACATTGCATTTCCTGTGGTTGCTTCACAATAAAAGCCACAGTATAAGGCCACTTCAGTTTTATTCTGGCTGGTTTCTACACTCAAAAAAAACAGCTGCATTCTGATGTGATTCAACCCATAGATTCCCCTTTCTGTCTCCTTTTGATGGGCCATTTGCCCTAACAAAACATGACAACAACAATCCATGTGGCTCTCAGCAAGAATGTAAAGGTTCAGATTACTTAGCAGGTGAGTTCTCAGTGATAAAGTAGAAATATCTTTACTTTCAGTTTCAATACCTCAGTTTAAGCCACAGCAGGCAGCTGTTTTCAGTTAAGGCACGTGTGATACCACAACCCCATGAGTGATACCGCTGTGTGTTAGATGAGGATCACAGAGTTTAAAAGGTAGTGAAATCAGGATATAGGCTTTTGTAACTCTCATAAAAGGGATCTCGTTAATAACAAAGTACGTGCCTCTTCTGCTAATGCTTTAAACTTTAAACCCCTACAGTTAAGGCTGTTTGGCAGTCCAATATTGTTGAAAACTTGCCCCCCTCATCCCAGCAACTTGAAACAAAATGGTTTCTAGTTTCAATTATAGTAATTAAACATTTGTTCCACCATAAACAACTCTTCCATTTGATCCTTTTAAGGGTCACTTTGATTGATGATAATATAAATTCTGTAATACCATGATACAGTGATATTTTGATACCATGATACCTACATACTGTGAGAACCTCATACATTGCAACTCTATCCTGGGGCAACATAAGAGGATAGCGTGGCTGATTTTTCACTCTGATTCATCACAGCAGCTCAGAATGATGTGAAACACATATGTGATGACATTCGGAAATAAAAAGATAAAGACATCCACACACTGCTAATTAGCTCTTGTGATTATAAATGCAACATTTTGGTCAGATAGACCTCATCAGACATTAGTTTAACAAATTTTTACAGAAACAGTCTGGCATTACTTTTAAGTGTTTATTTGTGCCATGTTCAGATCAGTTTCTTAATCATTCAACTCAGCTATATAGCAGAACATACTCTTTCTCTCTTTTAATATTTGGAATTTTTTTCTAGTCTTCTCAGCTGTAAAATTACATGCTAACATTTACATTTCACTGTGATAAAGCAAAGCATTCTTGCAGATAATTTTTATAACTGTTTCATCTGCCCTATAATATAACATAGGCTACTTAATTCATGGTTTTGATGAGGCCGCTAGTAATTAACAACCCCGCCTCTTTCACATGAATGCACTGGCTGGATAGAAAAAACCCCAGAGTTGACTGAGCTAGTTGATAACCAGCCTCGTGGTGTTGGTTATCCAAATGGCCAATGTTAGGGTTCGTAGTATAGGCCTCTGCTCCCCCCTGAGTCACAACCACTGAAGATATAGTAGTGTGGAAAAGCTGGTCGGTTTGCTTGAATAGACTTAGTGTGCTCCAGTCCCGTTGTCCCTTAAAAATATACAGACAGTACTCATGTGTACTTACATATCAGAGCTACACTTTCCTTAATAACTCACATACATGCATAAGATACTGTTAGTCAACCCACCACTATGACATCAGTAATGTATGCTAATGCTCAGCTTTTTAATAGTTTGAAAATCTGCAAAAGGAATTTTATTTTCACACATTTTGATGGGATTTCTATTAAAGAAATCCTGCTTGAAAAATACAAAAGAGCTTTTGTTCCAAGTGATATATTCTGTCAAATTGTGATCAACATGTGACTCACAGCAGTATCAGTCATGGTGCCCAAAGTGTTTTCATGTGGGAGGAGCCTGTGCAAATGAGACGGTATCATGACATCAGTAGCTCACTTGAATTGTAAAGTTTTGTTCCAGTATGACAGTGAAAGTTTTCGTTAACTTCAATTACCACAATAAATATTGGCACTGCACGTCTCTGCAAACCACAGAAACATTACCATTGTACATCATTATGTAGCGGAAACATTGAAACTTTATGTTTCTTTATGTAACAACCACACTCTGGTAAAGATGTGCTTACGTTGGAGTGACTTGGGGAAAATACATGACCCTCCCTTGATATTTGATGTTACCCTTTGAACTTTGAAAGCTGAAGACGTATCCTGGAGTTGATTAAGGCCCTGCTTTTCACTTTTGTCGTCCAAAATTTTAAAATGAAACATGTAGAACAAAGTGATTTTGATGAAATAGCACTATTTTAAACTTTTTTTTTCGTTCCACATAATGTATTCAAGGGCCGTTGAAAATATATGAAAATCCAACGATGTTTTCTGTTTTTACTGGTTCTGGCTGTGATAAATGGTGTCATTTCGTCAATTTGGTAAAATGAATACAAAATACAAGCATTTAAATTTGTATGCCCCTCCCCTAAGCCAAAATAAAAACACAAGTCCCTCCCCAGTGCTCAAAAATTGATTTGACATGCCTCCTTCTTTTTGCACGACCCTCTGGCGACAGGGCTCATTTTTCATTGCTGCCATGCATTATGTAGCTTTAATCTGGAGTGATCTCATGTGTTTGATTGTCAATGAGTTTAACTATTTATTTTATGTCTCTTTGTGCCTTTTTTGTCACCAGAATCAACCGCACAAAAGAAGAATATACCAACATATTCTACGCAATAAATGGGTGAGTTCTCTTGTTATCTCCACTGCTCAGCTCTCCATATGACTACACTGACTGTAATTTGCTGCGATCGGACTAATAATTACAACTCTCTGCCTGGCTCTCGGCTTCCATTGCACGACAGGTTTCCATTGTATCAGCCATGAATACACTACTTCTTGGTTAAGACAAGTTTTGGCATAGTTAAAAGGTCAACAGGCTAATGTAGTTCTGGCCACTTCTGAGACAATTGTTAGCTTACACACAAGACAGGACAGAGCAAATAAATAATTCATTTGGTGTTAATTGGTGTTATATTAGGACAGTGTAAATTAGCTGTGTGGTTAAACAGGTTATCAGGCTGAAAGGGTGACATTTACTATTGCATTTTACAACATTATTTGTTTGTCTTTGCTGCTCTCCCTGCCTTAGGCTTTCCATGCAGGCACATGGAAGGGCAGGGAGGTGTGTTCTCTCCACCTTAGGCTTCCCATGTAGGCCCGTGAAAAGGCAGAGAGGCCCCAGAACACAGCCATACCGCCAAATATAATACTGCAAATGGAAATAAAGTTTTCTTTGTGTCATGTTTCGACACGCAAATGCTGTGTAAAAGCAATATTAGCCTGTCTACAAGATTTCCGCGCCTCAATGTAAACACAGACGTGTCTCCTCAGGTTGTTGCTGCCGGGAGGAGATGTAGATCTTCAAACATCGCAGTTCAGCCGAGCTGCCAGGATTTTCTACAACTTGGCTCTGAAGGTAAATATTATATTTGACATGTTTGACTGACTGCCAAGATGAAGTGGCATCTCAGGATAAAACTAAAAAAAATAATATAGTCTTTCTTTTTTTAATCAAAAGCCACATTTAGCCTCAGGTGTTTGAATGTGTGCAAGTGCATGAGATTGATATGGATAATATTATGTATTATACCCTTTCATTCGTCACCTTCTTGTCCTCTGCAGGCCAACGATGCTGGGGACTACTTCCCTATCTGGGGGACCTGTCAGGGCTTCCAGCAGCTGTCTGTCCTCACAGCAAACAAAAACCTGCTCACCCTCACTGATACCAAGGCTGTGGCTCTACCTCTCACTTTCTTACCAGGTATTCTTTCCCATCCCTGTCCTCTGCTCTTTTTTCCTACTTGTCTTATCTTACTTGCTCTGTTCTTCATTCTTTGTCTTTTGCAACCTCAAATTATAAAGACAAACATGTCTCTCTTTTCACACGGGATGTCTACAGTCAGTTTTTCTGTAGGGCATGTTTATTAGGAAAAGTAAAGACGTGTTGCACACATACCCACAGGAGAAAAGGGATGATTCCATTCATTAGTATCCTACTAGAAAAGTTCAACAAAGAGCAGCTGTTCCTACAACTGATTACACAGCGCAAAAAGCAAAATCATTTGCAGGTTTCCCATAGGGTACTTCAGATGTAGCCACTGCCATCTTGTGGCGCTTATTGCATTACGGCAAGTCATGCATGACAGTCAGGCTGTGACATTAACACAATAACATAAACAGGATGGTAACAGTTTAGATGAGGAATCCAGAATTTATTGAGGATCTAGAAGGTTATCCATCACTTGTTTTCTTCCCTTCAGCCTGCATTTGGATCATTGCCTTTATCAGAGGACACGTTGTGGGTTGAAAATGTGTTGTTGATCCTCTGCATTAAGCTACATCATGATGGCACAAATATATGGCGTTTAATTTTCACATTAAAGGTGGGATCTCTTACACAGAGATCCTTCTGGAAAATATCTAAAGAGCTACAATCCCTACCATTCTGTTTGTCAAACTGTGATCCCTTCATTATCCACACCTCCTCTGGTCGTGGTGTGCAGTGTGACATATGGGTGGATCCCATGCAAATTAGATGGCTCTGTTCATTATCTTGCGATTGAGCCTAGTCACTCAAAAGCCTTTTACATGTTTGTACTTTGTAGCTTCATATAACTAAATACTAATTTTGAACACACCTTCCACAAAATCAACTGTAAGAAGTTTTTTGTTGCTGATAGTGTTAAACGCTAATCTTAATATGTTATTGTACATAGAAATCAACCTAATCTTTCTTCTTCGGCCTCTTTTTCTGTGGGTTTTAATGGCAGCTGCGAACCAAAAGGTTGAATTATCACCACCTGTTGGATTTAATCGAAGGTCTCCATTTACCATATAAAATCATAATAATAGTAATGATAGTCAGCCCCTCCTATGCAGCTCCCACTCTGTTTTAAATTTCATATTTCCTGATTGCTTGAGACAGCCTAAAAGCTTCTCTCTTCTCCAGAAACACACACAACATCTAGAAATCTCTCTGCAGCATTGATGGCTATCTCAATTTTCTCCCATTTTCTTTCAGTCCCAACAGTACATTTAAAGCTATGGTCTACGTTAAGAAAGACGATGAGAGAGATTTGAAAAAAGCATTCCTCCCCCCACACACACCCCTCCCTCTGTGCTCCATGATCCCTCCCCTCTGAGCTCGTGTCCCCCTCCCCTCAGAGCCTCCTAACGACACACGCCCTCCCGCATAGCACCATACAGTTACATACAGCATACAGTTATCTATGTCACAACATCCGCTGTATCAGTATCGCTGTATCACTTGTCAGGCCCAGATCTTGCCGGAGCTTTCTCCATCGGTCAAAGGATGACCCGATGTTTACTCTGCTTTGAGCCCTCAATTTGTCGCATTTCCTCTTTGTTTCTGCCTTTTCAGAGGCAGACTTACGCTTCCTTTCGGCCTTTGCCGGTGGGGCAAGCAGAGGCCGCTTGCTGCTGTCGCTCACTTTATTTGCCATATCGAAACTCGTGTAGCTGAATCGCTCAGGGCCTTACAAACTGCTCGTACTTTCAAATGCGGAGAGGGGTTGGGACAAGGCGGGACGAGGAGCAGAGGAGTGTCAAAATGGAGCGAGGGGACTGGACGGAGGGTAAGAGAGAGAGAGTGCAAATTTGAGCAAGGAGTAACTCCCATGCGAACCGGATGGCTGTGATTGGTCAATTTCTTTGCAGGCCTGCAGCCGCCAGAGAGAATGGATCTTTTTGGTTTCTTTTGCTCTTCATATTGTGTAGCTAGCACAACCACCATCTAAATGATGTTAATAATAATGATCAATCTTTCTAAACGTAGACCAGAGCTTTAATAACCATTGTCATAAATCAACTAAAACTTCATCTGATCCCTACACAAGTGCCATATCGTGTCTTATTTACTGCCTCACCTGTGTTTTTCTTTGTACTGGCTCTGATTATTTCTGCTTCCTTTACTCTCTTTGGACCTCCCATGCTGCATGTTTGCCTTTGCGAAGAACACACTCTGCTTCTTTCTCACATTCATCTGCTCCATCCTTCCTTGCTTCTTTTATATTCACAGTAGTGTCACATATGGTGCTTGATGTGATACAATATGACACTGTTATATCAAGCAGATGGTTCACATATAAATGAGAATGGACATCTTTGTGTTTCTACTTACCTGTTATTTTGAGATTCATTTATGTTGTCATTCTGAAGAACTACAAAACTGTGAAAGCAATGCTAAACCCTTCAACCATTGCTTTGGCTTCATTGAATTTTACTAGGGTTTTATTAAATAACGCAACAACATCATTGTATAATATTAGTTTACTTTTTGACACTAGAGGTGGGACTTCCTTTACAGAAGTCCTGCTGGAAAAAATCTAAAGAGCACAAATTCCTGATTACCCAGTTACTCATGTTGGGATTCATATTCAACCCACAGCAGTTTTTCTCATGGTGCTCAGTGCGGTAAAATAAGGGTGGACCCCATGCAAATGAGAGAGAAAACTGCTCTCAGTAGCACACCTATCTATTATGAGAATGTATTTTGAGTTCTTCCAAGTCTTTAGGCCAGCTGCAGTTGTCGACAGAAAGTACACGTGTTAACATATTACGTTAAGGGAGTGTTTTAAGTAATCATTTAACCAAATGTGGCTGTCCCTTACCTCTGATCCTGCTGTTAAATGACTGATTCCCATAGTAATGTTATATCACACATGCTTTTTCTAATTTATTTTAGAATTAAATGTGATTTCCTCTCTTCTTTGTTGTGTGACCTCCTGCCTCGCCATACATCTGTGTCCGTGCTCCAGCGGCCCAGTCCAGCCGTATGTTCCGCAACTTTCCCAACGACCTGCTGCAGTCTCTGACTGAGGAAAACATCACTTCCAACTTCCATAAATGGAGCCTGTCTTTGCAGGTATTTTCTGCACTCCTGAAAAGCACGATCACCTCCTGTCATGATGGAAATCTGTTGTTTGTGATTGTTCTGATTCACTTCATAAGTTAGCGGGGTCAGTGTTCTTTGAGGTACCTAGCACACTGATCGGATACTATAAGACGGAGCTAAATGACATAGCAGATCGGTAAAGAGAAAATACAGTCAGAGGGATGGATGGAGCAGTAACCCAGCTGTTACCATGTGCTAACAACCATGCCTACATCAAGAGAACTGTCTGCAGGGGAAATGCAAAACCAATGTACGGTTTAGGTACAAGTCCTTATGGGCTACGTACGGGTCTAAAGGTACAGTACTGAAAAGTGTTGGGTAGAAACGCAGCTTACATGTAGCACTTTTCAAACAGTAAACACAAAGTGCTTTTTAAAGTTATATATTAGTTATTTCTATATCACCCAAATAAGTTTAGATTACTGTTATGTGGCGCAGTGTGGCGTGGTGGCCAAGTGGTAAGGCGTTGGTCTCGTAAACCAAAGATCATGGGTTCAACCCCCATCCATGCCTGATGAGCTCTGGTGCTTCTTGTTTCAATATCCTTTGATTCAGAAATGGAGTCTTAAGTGCCATATGGTAGACAGGACTTGCTTGAGTTTCTTGAATGATCTCTCATCCAAGAGGCTTCTTCATTTCTAAGGAACTGGTGTGGAGCCCCCCAGCCATTATGTGTCATTAAGATTTAAATTGGAACAGGTGTATCGTTTTGTTAACGATAAAGCACTTAGGATTACCATGACCTTGATGACTGAGAATCTTCACAAACATCAGAAATGTAGGGTTAATTCGCTCAAATTTGTGTGTGTGTCTCTTCCCCAAAGACCAAAATAGATCCATGAGCTGCACCCATTCACGTAATCTATATCACACAACGTGATGAAGGTCACTAGAGGCAGAATGGCGTGGTGGCCAAGTGGTAAGGCGTTGGTCTTGTAAACCAAATATCATGGGTTCGAACCCCATCCATGCCTGATAAGCTTTGGTGCTTCCTGTTTCAATCTCAGAAGTGTAGTCCAAAGTGCTATATGGTAGACTGGACTTGCTTGAGTTTCTTGAAGTCCAAGAGGATTCTGCATTTCTAAGGGACTGATGTGGAGCCCACAGCCACCCAGCCATCATGTGTGTCATTAGGATTAGCTGGGTGCAGGTGTGTCGTATTATCACCAACATTGTAAATGTAGCGTTATTTCGCTTTGTTAAATGTCTGTTGAAGGTAGGAATTGTGAAACTGTTACAAGTGTGTGCCGTAGGAAACAATCTTACTGCATATTGTAAGGCATTATATGGACCTCTTCACAGGTATACCAGGACGAAGGTAGAGGAAAACAAATTCCCAAACCCTGTGTTAAGTTTGAAAACCCAGGTTTGCACAAGTGTTGAGACATTGTAGCCAAGCAGCAGGGCAATCGTTCTTGCAAACCAAATATCATGGGTTCATTTCTCATCCATGCCATCTAGTTAAAAGAGTATAAAGAGAGCCTATTTATGCTGAATGATTAGAAGTTTAACTCGCCATTCCCAAGGCAATTATTGAAGATATCACTACTTACTGCCACCAACTGTAGCTTTGTAGCTGTGGCGTTGCATGGACTTCAGGAGCTACACATTTGCATGAATGTGGTCAGTAGGAATGTGTATCATGTTAACACATGGCTGGGTGTGTTACTGGTTTCTTTCCCCAGTTACAACTCCTTAATGGGATATCAGACACAGTGGGGCACAGTTAAGTAGTCATTGAAAGACTCCTGTTGAATGTCCTTCTGCAAGGAAATTGCTGAATAAGCCTCAGTAATAATGATAACAATAGTTTGACTTATAGAGTACCTGTCAAGCAGGTCATCCATGATGAAAGTGGAACTAAACAATTTCAACAAGCCCTGTCTCAAGCTGGAGAAGGCTTGGTGACCAAGTGGTAAGACATTGATTTTGTAAACCAAAGATTGTGGGTTCAACTCCCATCCATGCCCGATAAGATTTCGAACTCCTTATGGGTTACGTATGGGTCTAAGGGTACAATACTGAAAAGTGTTGGGTAGAAACGCAGCTTATGTGTAGCACTTTTTAAACAATAATCTCAAAGTACTTTCTAAAGTTAGGAAATTCACAGGACATATGCAGATTGTGTTATCTTCCCAAAAGACCAAAATAGATCCATCAGCTGCACCCATTCAAGTAATCCATATCACCCAAAATCATGTTGATTACTGATGAGGTAGTATGGTGTGGTGGCCAAGCGGTAAGGCGTTGGTCTTGTAAACCAAAGATCATGGGTTTGAACCCCATCCATGCCTGATAAGCTTTGATGCTTCCTGTTTCAATCTCAGAAGTGTAGTCCAAAGTGCTATTTGGACTTGCTTGAGTTTCTTGAATGATGACATGTTAACACATGGCTGGGTGGGTTACTGGTTTCTTTTCCCAGTTCCCACTCCTTAATGGGATATCAGAAACAGTGTGACCCAGTTAGTGTACTCGTTGACAGACTCCTGTTGAGTGTCCTTCTGCAAGGAAATTGATGGCGGCACATTTTTTTTTGCTGAATAAGCCTTAGTAACAACGGTGATAATGATAATTATAGTCTGACTTGTAGAGTACTTTTCAAGCAGGTCATCCATGATGAGAGTGGAACTAAACAAATTCATTAAGCCCTGTGTCAAGCTGGAGAAGGGGTGGTGGCCAAGTGGTAGGATATTGGTTTTGTAAACCAAAGATAATGGGTTCAACCCCATCCATGCCTTATAAGATTTGGAACTTGCTATTTCAATCTCCTTTGGGATTTCAGAAAGGTGGGGTTATTTCTCTCTGAAATCAACATTTTAAATTAAAGTTAAATGCGCAGCGTAAAGAGCTGCCGGACTCTGCCTGGTTACTAAATGACTCGCTGCTCAAAATGAGCCATACAGTGTGGGGAGAGAGTGATGTGTTCACAGACAAATGTCCAATCATTTGCTGCTGTGTCAGCCACGGTCCAGCAAGACTACATTGAACAACCACGTAACAAGTAATTTGTCCATCACATCTCACATTTCTGCAGTCAGTAGGAGTGTGTGCCATGTCAACAAGGTGCTTGTTGGGTAACTGGTTTCTTATTCCAGTTACAACTTCAGGACTTTGTGGTTGGCGAGGCTGGAACCAGACTAATTAATGAAATCACCCTCAGTGTATGTACTTACTGGTAACAGACCACAACCAACACCACTCAGCTGCAAACACAGATGGTCAGGCATCAAGCAAAACTTGTCAAACTACTTGTAATTCTTACATAATGTGGCTCAGCTAATGTCTCAAGTAGGATTCCTGTTGAGTATCTTTGTGTAAGACCTTCAGCAGCTTCTTATTTTTTGCTTAACATTTCAGCTCAAAACCTGAAATCTTCACATTTACTGTAAATAAAAGAGCTGCTGTATTTTATGTTCTTGCTATAGGTTTATGGATTTCAAAAATGTTTTAACACCATCCATCGCATCAGATCACCAGTTAGTTTGACCCAAGTCCTAAATGTTTCTTTATTTCTGTGCTGGGCAGAGGGAGGAACGAAGTTTTAGGGCATACGACTCTGCTAATACAAAATCTCTGCCTTTGAACCAACAGAACTACTCCCGCAATGCCAAGCTGAAGAAGTTTTACAAGGTCCTGTCCACTAACAACGACGGGAAGAAAGAATTTATCTCCACCATGGAAGGTACCAGACCTCCCTGACCTCTATGCAGTCTGCCATGTGCCTTGTCATTCATGTTGCTCAGTATACATTTGTCATAAACACAAAAGGTTAGGTGGCACGGTGGTGAAGTGGTTGGAGCTTTTACTTCACATTAAGATGGTTCCAGGTCCGGACGTGCCGTCTGGTTGGGGCCCTTATGTGTGGAGTTTGCATGATGTAAACGTGGGTTTACTCTGAGTTCACTGGCTTCCTCCCACAGTCCAAAGACATGCAGGTCAGGTTAACTGGTTACTTTAAATTGCCCATAAGCATGAATGTTTATCAGTTTCTATAGCTCTTTTACACAGAGATTGCGCTTAAGGCACATTCACACTAGGCTTGTGCCACTTTCCGGTTTAACTGGTTCGGTCCATTTTAAGAGCTCCACCCGGTTTAATTCACGTCAACCGGATAATCCAGGTGGGGGTGGAGGGGGAGCTTTTCACATCAGCGGTGTGTCAAGGGACTGTATTCAACTTATTTTGCATTGTAACATGCATTATGACAACTTGATAAGGTTTATGTATGTTTACTCCGCAGCTCCGCTCAGCTGTCTGCTGCTGCTGCAGAGAAGTGTCCTTCTGCTTCTTCTTCTTCTTGTGTAACCTTGTGTGTATTGGCAGTTAATACAGCATTATCGCCACCTAGTGGATTGGAAGCGCATTACACCGATAATAGGCTTTTATTGGGAAAAATAGCTCAAATGCGACCCCTAGTGGTAAAATTAGGTATATAATTCAATATATCAGTTTGGTTGGTAGATGTTTGGCTTTAAATCAAACCGGTTGGAAAATTTTCAAACCAGCACAAGCCTAATTCACACCAGGATAGTCTAGTATAGATAGTAGGGACTCGGTTTGATTGGGCAGTGAATGCCAAAAAATTTCACACCTTCATTTAGTTTGGTTCACTTTCACACTGCACTTTTTAAAGCGGACCAAACTGCCTGGACGACATTGTGCAGTTACAACAGCTGCTCGTTTGGGGGTGGTATTGCCTGAAACAACCATTGACCAGGAAGAAAAAAAGCATGAGGAAGAAGAAAACCTGGCTCATTGATTGGCCAGGACCGAAAACAGAAATCCATCCCCTTAAGCCGGAACAGCAACTGCGATATATAGTCCTCTGACCATATATCAATAAGCGCCTGCACCTTCTCACTACTCCACGTCTGCCCGCAAGACATTTTACAACTTTTACTTTTTCAACCTCTGCTTCTCCCAGTTCGCGCTGTTGGCTTTGTTTTTTCCTACCCAAAATGCACTGCGCTCTACGTCACTTCCTCTCTGTGATTCACGTCCTCTCTTTGGTTCACTGGATAGTTTGTTTGCATTTCCCACTTGCAAGTGAACTGAGACCCCCAGTTTTCAAGGGGACCAGGGTTCACTCATTTGGTCCCCACCAGAGTTCGAATGAGCGTTCACACCACTCCAAATGAACCAAACCATCTGTGGAAGCGGACCAGGGTTTGTTTAAAGCGGACTAAATAGCGCCAGTGTGAATGCGTCCTAAGTCTCACTTTTATGCGACCTTTATATTTTTACAGAGAATCATATGAGGGCGGCATCACTGCGCTCCTGTGTGTGATTATAGACAGTGGCATCAAAAGAAGTGTGACAGGTGTGACATGTGAAACACCAGCATCGTCCTCTAGTGTGACATATAACATATGCATCAGCAGCATTTTATTTTATTTTATTTTTCATTAACAAGACGGTAACAATCATTTACCATCTCTGTTATATGATGGCTGATCTCGTCTTCTGCTTGGAGCATTAGAAGCTCCCAAATTTCATTGTTTTCCTGTTTTTTGCAGACATTTACGGCTGATGTTCTTCTTCTTTGAGTTAGCTACTGACTGCTAATAGCTACTTCTTAAATCACCCGTGGTGGATTACATGGATAACACATCGGCAAAATGTCACACCTGTCCTGCCCATGGTCCTGTCCTGCTGGCTGTCCTGTTCATACAGACGCCGTTTGCGACCGTACCTGTGAGGTGGCAAAACAGTGTTTTCTTTTTTGTCTGCTGACAGTGTGTCTCTTTTTTCCTCAGCCTACCGCTACCCGTTTTATGCAGTGCAGTGGCATCCAGAGAAAAGCACCTTTGAGTGGATAGATAAGCCCGGCATGGTTCACTCCACGTCTGCTGTAAGAGCCTGCTTCTACACTGCCAGCTTCTTTGTCTCTGAAGGTAACATGTGGTTCCTCTGTGTGCTTTTATTACCTCTGTCAGGTTGTCTCCAGCACTGTTTGTCCATTTTTGTGTGTCTGTTTCCCAGTTTCTCAGCAGAATATTTCCAAAAGGCTAGGTCAACAGTTTCACTGTAATTTAATGGAACGTTAGGCCATGAGCCAATAGGGATCAGACCTTTTTTGGCTCTTAACTCCTGATGTAAAATAATAACTGTTTACTATTACAATCATGTTATTGTTCTGGCTTCAGGTGTGCGGTCTCTGGGCACAGCACACACTCGCTCCACATGAGAACGATTGAAACAAGATGCCAGCGCTGAGGGAAAAAACACTATCCATCATTTAATGATTTTTTCCAAAGCTGATTTTCAACTTTACATCAATTTTCACCAAATGTGTTACATATTGTGACGAGCCTGAAAACAATGAACTCAGCAGCAGTTCCACAGATTTAAGTCTTAGCACATAATCTTTATCAGCAGATGGAGTTTTCCTAGTTCTCATGTAAATGTAAATGAATTGAATTTACACTTGTCTGAGCACTTTGAGGAAATTCTTGCCCATGTGGGCTTACAATAAATCAAATAAATTGATTGATATTTCTTGCCATGGGTTACCAAATTATAGCAGATGTGGCCTATTTGATGGAAATTGCTGTGACACCTGAATTGTTCAGGTGCAGCTGAATTTATGTGACATGCACACATCAGCGATGAGTGATCCTGCAAAAGTTGAATGTATTTCAGTCACATTTAAATGTTTATTTCAGCAGCAGAACATAGTTTGGCATCTAGATTCAGGCCGCTCCCTGCAGATGTGTTTACTTGAGATATTGGAGAGTGATGATTAAATATCCCCCCCCCCCCCCGAGCAGGAGACTGCAGGTGGATGCTGCGGTGGATGTGGGGCTCAGAGAGCGAACAGCAGCATGGCCGATGCAAAGAGAAGATTTTGCAGCTTAAACAGACCACCATTTGGCAGGGTGTGTTTTGTAGATGACATAGGGGGAGTGACTTATGATGTGTTTGTTTGAATCAGAGCAGTTGAATTGACTGTCTGAACTAGCTTGCAGGCGTCACTTCATTTTCCGTATAACCAGCCTATTACCAGCATTAAAGCAACATGACACATGATAAATGCCAGTTTTGTTGCACAAGATTTATACATCCTCAAAAATAATCGCTAATCTAGAATGATTATAAAACAAGACAAACAAATAACCAGTGTGTGTATGCTTTAAAGGAAAGTTCAGTTGCAGGTCTGTATGAATAAAACTTTATTACGCCCTCCCTTATTTTTCAACTTCCTGTCTCTCCCTCCTCCAGCCATGAGGAACCAGCACCACTTCCCCAGTCCTGTGGAGGAGGAGCGAGCTCTCATCTACAACTTCTCTCCCATCTACAGAGGCCCCCATGCCATCTTTGTGCAGAACTATTACTTTGATTGACTGACTCTACCGAAGACGATCTTGGCCCGAGTTTAAAACTAAACTTTATGGTATCGTCTCTTACAGTAGCCTCAAACATCAAGTCAGTAATTAGCAGTTTAGCTGAGGTGGTTTGGACAGTAACATGAAAAGCAGCCAACGGAACAGTGATGAAATGCAGTGATAAATAATAGAAGATGAAAATAAAACAAAATATTAAAAAATCATGAGGTTTGGTTTCGTCTAATATCAGATAAATAACAAGTGCAAATGTGCGATAGCTGCGACCACATACGCAGTCGCCCTTTGGCTCGTAACCGATCTTTCCACAAAATCTTGTGCAAGTCTGAATCCATTAGGAAGTTATGCGCCTTTTTGCAGTAGGCCACTCCCATTACCATGCCCCCTTTTAACACACGCCTTCACACACACACACACACACACACACACACACACACTTGACCTCAATGCCAAATACCTTTAACAAAACATGCACAGTAAACCTTTAACATGTCTGTCTAACCGACCCACAAAGGGACAGTAATACAATTAAACAGACTGTATTCTATCTGCAGTTATGTCGGCCCAATAATGACAAACCTAATTTAACTAAGAATAAAAACAATGATAAATACATTGTTAAAAAAATTATTACCTAAATTCCAAATATCCAGTTGTGAGGGTATCTCTTTTGTTGCAGCTCGTCTATCCCATGGATACCTTTACTTGTGTTTGCCACTATTAAATTACACCTAATGTCAATAAAAGTGAATCACTCATGTCTGGAAACATCACGCCATGTTGGTTTTGTTTGATTAGACAAGTTTCCATAGGTTAGCTCCAGGCTCCAGGCTGGGCACAATTTTTATTTGTTTTATTAAATGTAATACCTTGCATAAATAAGACATTCTAAGTAGGTGAATCTCATCATGCAATTAATAACTGCAACTGCAGATACCACTAAAAAAAAAAGACCTGTACTAATGTTAGTCGTCTCCAATTTCTAAAACTTGCCTTCTAACAGAGCAGAGAATTTTACAAATTACAAATTGCCCATTTCCTCCTTGGGAGGGATTATTAGCCTCCTTTAGCTCCTAAAAATGCACGAGGTTGGAAAGACAGTAAGTTTCAACAACACTGGTTAATGTGTGGTTTGGTTTAGGCACCAGAACCACTTGGTTATGGTTAGGAAAAGATTATACTTTGGTTTAAATACGTGGCTTTGGGTGCACAGTCCTGGCTGGAAACGCAGTGATGGCTCGCTCCAAAACACCCATGTTTGGTGGCTAAAAAGCTGCTGGAAACACAGCAGTGACTCGCTAAAGCACAACTGGTTTCGTTTGTTGTGTCTAACAGTGGTCTGCAGCTTAGCAGGCATCTTGCTTCATATCTAGTTTTTTCATTGGGACATTTATTTTTCTTTTCAATTTTATGAGGCTAAAGTAATGACATTTATGCAAATGGTGGTGGAAACCTCTGTTTTTTCATGACACCAACAATGTTCATGTTCTTCATGGGAAAGGTGGAATATATGGGTCAGTTGGTCTAAAATGTAATCTTCAATGTTTAATGGTGTTGCATGGCATCATGACTGTGTCGAGCTATTTTGTCATTTTCTTCATCAGTCAGTCATCAGTCTTCATCTGAAACTAGTATACCAAACTGATAAGGCTCATTATTATTATTATTATTTTTTTATCTGACAAAGATATCTGATGTCTTATCTAGACAGAAGCCCTGAGAGATAAGGTGAAAACCTGGCTTGTTGGCTGGTATTTGAAATGCCTGTGGGGGGTTAATCAGTTTTATAGTGATGGTGTAATGTTAGTGCAAACAAACATGAGTCAGTCAGTCAATGAATCAATCAATTTTATTTATAAAGCCCAATATCACAGATCACAATTTGCCTCACAGGGCTTTACAGCATACGACATCCCTCTGTCCTTAGGACCCTCACAGTGGATAAGGAAAAACTCCCCAAAAAACCCCTTTAACGGGGAAAAAATGGTAGAAACCTCAGGAAGAGCAGCTGAGGAGGGATCCCTCTTCCAGGACGGACAGACGTGCAATAGATGTCGTACAGAACAGATCGGCATAATAAATTAACAGTAATCCGTATGACACAATGAGACAGAGAGAGAGAGAGAGAGAGACAGAGAGAGAGAGACAGACGATAATGACAGTAGCTTACAACAACATTAATGAAAGTAATAATATTATAGTTATAATTCTGGCTACTGTGGTACAATATGTTGATGTTGATGTGACAATAATCATATGTGTATAATAACAGTATAAGTATGACTAATGACTAATGATAACAGCAGCAGCAGGAGGCATCTGGTAGGACCACGGCAGCAGCACAACCACACACGTCACGCTGTCCAGGCACCGCTGCAATATGAGTTAATCTGAGAGACAGTGGAGCACAAAGGCTCCGGAGAAGAAGCCGAGTTAGTGACATCCAGAATGGCCGAG